AATATTGTTCCGTGGCCAAGTTTTTTATTTGGTATTATTATTATTGGGCACAATCCCTGTGTGTGTTTATCTTGTGAAGGTCAGGACGATCTCTTATTGGCAGCTGAAGAACTTGACTATAATTTACTGTTACACGCAGTGTTCAGTGGAACGGATATTCATAAAGGGCAGGAATAGATGGTTTTCACTAAAAGAAAACAAAAGTCAATACAGCTTTGTAGAACCAAAGTTATTTTTATCACTCTAGACTTCCTCTTCTGAACTAGCTACAGTGTCTTTCATATGACAGTTCACAAACCCCTCAAAGAAGCAACAACTCAACTCCACAAAACCATTGAATGACACACAATGGGCTCAAAACAGCTCTTTTGGGAAGAAGATTTAGTGACTGGTTGAGGTGAGATAGGCAATGTATATCCACTTGTCCACATCTAGGTCACCAATGTGTTATCTTGCTCCCCTTCACATAATTTTTCATCCTTCACATTTTCTCAAGTAGGTGGGCTACCTTTGGATTAATAAGACTTTTGAGGAACATTTCCATTTGTGAAGACTTCCTCAAAAGTATAATTAATGAACTTTTGATGCAACCCATTAAGATCCCACTAAACTACATTCTGCCCAGTCTTGCATTTGAGATGTGAAAATCAGCTTACCATTCTCAAAAGATTGCCTATTGCTGGGTTACAACTGGGCAAACATCAGCCCAGCAGGATCTGGCTGCAAATTATAGCATAGGCACTTTGAGGAGTCTGCCCTCCTCTGCTCCCGTCTCCCAAATAACCTCCCTCAGCAGGGCCCACCCTGTGACATCACCAGGGGCTTCCCCTGGGTCTCAGGTTTGAGATCTCAGGATCTGGGATGCTCCTGACCTGGCAACCCTACTCTGGTGGTAGTTTAGAAGAGGTGTGGACTGGCACTGTGAAGTGGCTGAATAATGAAGGGAATTGAGATGATTTGAAGGTCTTTTCCCTCCGCCTGTGCAAGTGAAATGTCAGTAACCCACCCAGCTAGATCCATGGACTTTCTCAAAAGTAAGGCTGTGGAAAATGTTGCCTGCAAAATACTGAATGACTCTGGATTGTCTTTTGTTAAAGCACAGCAGAGGAGGATTTCTTTTCCCCCAAAATGAGCTTCATTTGGTGTGGTTTTTTTTAAATATCCTATACTGCTCCACATTAACAAGCAACAAGAGAGCTGTTCAGAACTCTGTGAGCAATGTTCTAGACAGCTTCACTTTATAAGGCCTATCAGAGGTCTGTAACAGCTTAAACCTCTCAGAGCTATCATAGGACACAAGCAACCACAGTAATAGAAAGGCCAGTGTGAAGCTACAAAGTTGTTAGGTTTCCCCCTGAAAAAAAAAACAATAATATACATCACATGGACACCTCTTGATTATTTTAAAGTAAGAAAGAGCAAGATAAAATCTGTCCCCCTCATACGGGATTATGGAAAGGACAGTGAATCCCTATTACTTCCCCCACAAAACGCTTCTGGAGCTATGAGACTGCAATTTGGCAGGTTTTATCCACTCTGGACGGGCTCCTGTGCCTGTACATGTCATCCACTTTGGACGAAAGGGGAAATGATAGCTGTTCTTAGATTCTATATTACGATGAACAGGGACAACAAAGTTTCATTGTACACAGAGCAGCTCAGGATCCAAAACACAGATCAAAGCTGAGAGGACAGAGAATCTCTCAAATTGATCAGAATGTTTTTAAAATGTACAGATTTTAAATATACAAAATGTATGGGGCCCAAAAACTGACCAAGTATATCACCATCAAGACACGGAAAGTCTTATCCTCCATTAATTGTCTATATCCTCTATAAAATTACCAATTGGTGGCCATCACAGTAAATTGTGTAAATGAACGTTACATAATTTACCATGCACTGTGCAAGGAAGTACTTTCTTTCATCTCTCCTGGATGTCCCACCACTGAGCTTCATTTGATGGTTCTGAGTTCCAGCTTTATGGGAAACAGAGAAAAAAAATCACTTTCCCTACACCACTCATAATTGTACAGTCATACCTAGGAAGTCAAACAGACTACTTCTCGAACATTTCAGCTCCCAAACGATTGAAACCCAGAAGTGACTGTTCCGGTTTTTGAATGTTCTTTTGGAAGCCAAACGTTCGATGGAACTTCCACAGCTTCTGATTGGCTTCAGGAGCTTCCTGAAGCCAATCAGAAGCCACACTTTGGTTTTTGAATGTTTTGGAAGTTGAAAGGACTTCCAGAACGGATTCCGTTCAATTTCCAAGGTATGACTATATATGCCTCAGTCATATCCTCACTTGCTTCTCTCCCTCTCTCTCTCTCTCTCTCTCTCTCTCTCTGTGTGTGTGTGTGTGTGTGTTTGTCTGTCTTGCAAACTAAATAAACCCAAACTTTGTAACCTTTGACATTTGGCCCCTGGGCCTAAGACTCCTTTCTCCTGCCTCAGGGAATTTTGGTTGATTTTGCTTTCCCTTCATGCTATGCTCAAAACAAATAGCAAAAGATCGGTTTTGGGGCATATACAGCCTCATTCCAAAACTCAAATGACTCTCACTAGAAGCAAATGCTCACACAATTTGATGTGCTTATGAATATATATTCTCCTTATTCTCTTCAGTTACTGCTGCCTTTTATTCCATGTTTGATTTTTATAAGTCTGCATTAATAAATATTGCTATCTGGGTGGAGAGATTTCCAAGATATGATAGAGCTCAGATGTCCATTTCATATTGCAAATATTCACTCCGGTTAAGATATATTTCTAGATTAACTAAAGAGGAAGAATTTGCTGTGGCAAGGAGAATCTATTTCCCTACCATGCACCAGGGAAATCATTTCCAGGATGCCTATTATTCTGAGTTTTACCATTATTAATCCACCAGCTTGTCAATGGAACAGTAGCTTTCAGCACCTTTTTTATCAGTGTATCATTACTTCGTCTTAGAAAGGTCTGGGAAGCCAATAAATGAAAAAAACTAAATGGCTGAATCTCTCAACAGTTATAATTGAACTTTGCTGTAAAATGTAAGGTGAATATGTTCTAAAATAGGCTGGGCTGTTAAAAAGTTTAAGCAGGGTAATGCTCAGCAAGCGTTATTTCTTCCTCTTCCCATCACTACAAGACTTTAAACTGCTGAACTATCTAGAACCTACTGGAGTTTGCCATCCTTTGCTGCAGCTTTGTTTTGTATTTTTCCGTTGTGAATTGCCCTGGAATCTCTGGATGGAGGGCAGTACAGTGGTACCTCAGGTTAAGTACTTAATTCATTCCAGAGGTCCATTCTTAACCTGAAACTGTTCTTAACCTGAAGCATCACTTTAGCTAATGGGGCCTCCTGCTGCCGCCGCGCCGCCACTGCACGATTTCTGTTCTCAACCTGAAGCAAAGTTCTTAACCCAAGGTACTATTTCTGGGTTAGCGAAGTCTGTAACCTGAAGCGTATGTAACCTGAAGCGTATGTAACCTGAGGTACCACTGTATACACATTCAATGAATTAATGATGGTGGTGATGCTCTTGCACATTTTAACTGATTTGTGAGTGGACTCCAATGCAATGACCGCTCCCCGCTTAAAACAGGGGGCGCCCTTTGCATGGACACGCGCAGCCCCTAGATCTGGAGCGGCTCCAACAGCATAGGCTTGGTTTGCCTTCCCTCAGGTGGGATACCTGGAGGTCTCCGCCTACCTCAGTCAGTTGTCCAATCCCACCTGGGGGAAGCGTTGCCAAGGAGACCAGGCTGGGTAGGGGAGGAATTACCTGCCCACACAATAGAGGGAGGTAGTAAAACCAGTGCTTTTTTTCTTTAAAAAAATGTTTAGGGGTACTCTCATTTTGACTCAAAAAAATCACCATTTTATAGTTCAAATCGGATAGAATAAATACAGTAAATGGACAAAAGTACAAAGATTCACAAAATGTTTAGAGGTATGCGTCCCCCTGCATCCCCCCCCCCAAAAAAAACCTGAGTAAAACAGTCTCCCTCCTGCCATGTCAGCGTATGACATGAGCTTTCCTGGAGCCAGATGGAAAAGCTTCAGAAAACAAATCGTCTTCTTGCGAGTTGTCTTTGTCATGAAGAATCAGATCATTTCACAACACTGACCATATAATGATGTCTTCAAAATGTCAAACCTAGTCCCATAATTTCTAGGAACCCTGAACTTGGGCATAATGAGATTTCTCTACATGTGATTTTGGTACATGTGGTGATGATGAAGATGATGGTGATATTTTATTGATTGATTTATTGCCCGTCCTTCACCCTAAGATCCCAGGGTGGGTTACAGCATTAAAAACAATATTAAAAATAAAGAGAGACAGCTGGATGTGTGAATGAACTCGGTTGAAAAAACTATTGTATTTGCAAAGATATAGAAGCTCTGCCTGTGGTAGCCACTGTACACAAGTAAGTCATTGCTTGCAGTTACACTAATCTACACCATGAGTGGGCAACCTGTCACCCTCCAGATCAGTGTTGGTCTCCAGTTCCCATCAGCTCCAGAAAGAGTGGCCATTGGTCAGAGCTTTTGGGATCTGGGGGTCTACCACCATCTGCAAGGCCATAGGTGACCCATCCCTTATCTGCATCTATGAATAAACCAGTTTTGAGACTCACTGGCTTGAATTGATATATTATGGTGTTTCCTGTCACATCTCCCGTTTCCCTGATGTGGGAAGAGGACCAATCGACGTATGTCTTCTGATTCTGCCTCCCCCTTGCCCTATTTTGTCTTTGTGTTGTAACAGAATGTTTTTCTTTCGACAGCAAAGGCTTCTAGAGCATCACTGGGTAAAAGGCAGGAAGGGACAGTTCAAATAATGTAATTATCTCAAACATCCTACCTTCATGCTTGCCTTCTTGGTTGCTCCAATGATATAGGTGTGCATAGCTGATTGTTTCATGAGGCAGTGTATGTGATTATCTCTCCCCTCCCCACATTTTATCATCATAACAGTCCTGTCAGACAGATCGGGTTGAGAAATTTGTGTTAGGTAGATTTATTGCTTTATTCTTGGCGTCCAGCACACTTCCCCCTGCGAGCCTCTGCAGGTCGTAAAGCAATTAGCAGAATTGCACAGCGTCCGTGTTGAAAGGGCAGTAAAACAAGTCCCACACGTTTCTTCTTTCCTAGTAGCACTTTATTTGCTCAAAAGTAGCATATTTACAATCCATAAACACCATCTGATTCAAGCTGCATCTTTCTCTGCGTCCTTCTCTCTCAGCTTGCAGCTGCGTAACAAAGCTGCTTTCACTTTTCACTCAGCTCACAGCATTCCAAGCTGCTTTCGTCACGTCCTGGCTTACTTCCCTTGTAAGCGCCTCCTCTCAGCCTCGAGACACAGAAGGTTAACCCTTCACTACACCCAACACCCCCTCTTGTCTCGCGCCTGAGGGGAGAATCGACCCTTGGTCGTCCCAAACCCAGACCTTCACAAAACTCCCCATGTCTTTGGAAGGTGAGTGGCTTCGTGAACCCATCAGCTAGGTTCTTGGCAGAGGGACAATACTTCAGCGCAACTAATCCCTCCTGAACACTCTGGCACACATTCCAAAGCGAATGTCTAGGTGTTTAGTTCTGGCCTTGAACTGACCTGACTCTGCCAAACTCAGGCATGGTTGATTGTCCTCGAAAACACGTATCGGCAGACAATCCACTTCGCAGAGTTCCTGCACCAAGCAAGCATAGAACTCTACTTCTCTGCACATCTCTGAAAGAGCACTAAACTCAGCCTCAGTGGATGAGAGCACTATAAGACTTTGCTTCTTGGACCTCCATCCAACTACTGAGTTCCCAAACTTCACCACTAGGCCAGACACAGACTTGCGATCCTCAAGATTAGCCCAATCCGAGTCCACAAAGCAAGTCAGTTTGACTTCTCCTTGTGCTGGCAACCTAAGACAAAAGTCTTTGGTCTCCTGCAAATACCTCAGAACTCTCTTGATGCCATTCCAGGCTTGCACACTAGGGTTTGATGCCTCCCTGCTGAGCAGATTGACAGCAAACGCTATATCAGGTCTGCTCCACTGGGACAAGTACAACAAACTCCCTAGGGCTGACTGAAACACTTCAGTATTTTCGAACGCAGCGCGTTCTACTTGCTGGCTGTCCTTCACAAAACTAGTCTCCATAGGACTTCTCACTCCTGCACAATCACTCATCCTCATTTTCTGAAGCAATTGCTCAATTTTACCTCTCTGGCTGAGCAAAAACTTCCATCCTGTGCACGCTCAACATTGACACCTAGATAGGTTTTGACAGCACCAAGCTGTTTAAGCTTGAATCGTTTACCTAGCTCTTTGGCAAACTTCTCCGCCTGTTCATCTGTTTCTGAGAAGAAAAGCACGTCATCAACATAAATCAGCACCAGTTCCTGTGAGTCTCCTGATCCTCTAAGGAACAGGCAACTGTCAGCAAGACTCTTCCTGAAACCTAGCTTCTCCAAGGCTTCATTCAGGCACATGTTCCAGTTTCTAGCAGATTGACGTAATCCATAGATGGATTTGTGCAATCTCCACACAACATCCTGCCTTGAGTTCTCAAACCCCGGAGGAGGAATCATGTACAGCTCCTCCTGGAGATCTGAGTTAAGGTAGGCAACATCCACATCAAAGTGGTTTACCTTCCAGCCTCTCTGTGCTGCACAAGCTAAAAGCGTTCTCAGAGTCTCCGCTCGTGACGTTGGCGAATACACCTCCGTGAAGTGTATTCCCTTCCTCTGAGTAAATCCTCGAGCAACTAACCTGGCTTTATACTGCGGCTCTCCAGCGTCCAGTGGGTTTCAAGCGGTAAACCCACCTGGAACTCACAGCCTGCTTCCCGGTGGCAACTCTGTGAGTGAGAACACACCTAGATCTTTCATGGACTTCATCTCTTTGTCCATTGCCCTGTGCCACTTGCCTGCTTCTTCCTCAGGTAAACTCTGAATATCCTCGAAGGATTCAGGTTCACATCTTGCAGAACCTACCCAGACGCCTGAAGCGTCGTACCGATCAGGAGGCCTCCTTGTCCTCGCTGATCTCCTCAGTGTGAATCCTGGTGACCCTGCTGCTTCACTGGGTCCAGCTAAATCATCCTCAACTTCAGTGTCTTCCCCTTCTGACCTGCTGCGCCTCTTGGGCCTTACAGCTGGTCCAGCAGGTGAAGATGGCTCACTCTTTGGCTCAAACTTGACACTTGCCTGAGGAGGTGTTCTAGGTTCCCCCCTCTGAGGGATCCTGAGCTGTCCCTGCCTTGGACTCTGTCGCTCTGGACCGTGGTCCCCAGCACCAAATTTCTCTTCCTCCTCAACGTCTGAGTCATAGAACTGCTGTGGAAGCACGTCTGGATTAGCGTGCAGACGTTTCCAACCAGCTTGCTCACAGAACTCAGCGCTATTGCTGATAACCAACCTAGACTGGTCTCCACTTGGGTACGCAAACCGCCAGGCCTTTGAGCCAGGCTCATACCCTACAAAGATCATCCTTTTAGATCTTGGCTCACCTTTCTTGCGTAGAGCCTTTGGAATAAGCACCCAAGCCTCACAACCAAACACACGAAGGTAGTGTACCTTAGGCTTCCTTCCATGAAGTAAGAAATACGGTGTATTTCCTACACTAGAGTTGTACACTCTATTCTGCAGTATGGACCACATAGCGCCAGGCCTCAGACCAATATTTCTGGGGTAGCCCTGCGTCCCACAGGATCGCAGACACAGCTTCCTGCACCGTCCTGTTCTTTCTCTCTGCCAGCCCATTCTGTTGCGGAGAGTAAGGAGCGGTCAGTCTGTGGCTAATCCCCTTCTCCCTAAAGAAATCCTGTAAAGCAGAACCAGTGAATTCAGCACCTCTGTCACTTTGAAAACCACGAACTTTGGTGGAAAAGGTTACCTCAACTGCGGTGATCCAATCCCTGATCATTTTAGCCGCCTCCCTTTCGTTTTCAGAGAGAAGGTCCAAGCAGACCTCGAAAAATCATCAATCAAAAGCAGAGAATACTTGAACCTCCCAGTGACTCAACAGACATGGGTCCACACAAATCTGCATGAATTAATTCAAAGGGTTGTGTGGTCTGCCTCTCTGACTTTGGATATGAGCATGTCACAACTTTCGCCTGTTTACATGCATTGCAATCTAGAAATTTGTCACAAACATTAAATTTGCACCCTTGTGTCAGCTCTGGTGCTTTCTGGAGATATTTCCAATTCAAATGGGCGAAGCGTCGGTGCCAAATATGTGAACAACCATTGTGGGGTGCTACATTCACACATTGGCCCTTCGCATCTTCGGTGTCATCTTCTCCTGTGGAAAAAGGCACATTTACAGCAAACAAATTATCTTTAGACTGCACTGTGTACACGTGTTTCCCATCCTTGGAAAATTCACATTTGTCACCTGCAAAAGAAATTTGAAAACCATCGATCAATAGATCATGCACACTTAACAAACAGTTAGTTAAACCGGGCACTGCATAAGCTTTGACTTCATGCTTAAGGAAAGGACAGAAGAACAGTCCTGTCTCTGTTAGTTTTTTTCTGCTTCCACCTGCAAACGTAACATACTTCTCAGTTTTTACTGTCCTGCAATTCCTCAAAAGATCAGGAGATGGCACCAACAAATTTGAGGCACCACTGTCAATTATTACAGTGAGAAAGTCTTGTTGTTTACATTCCTGGGTCGCCAGGGCAACAATCTCCTCACTACCCCCCTCCTTGGGGCTTCTGCAGATGTCCTCTCTGGTTGTCACGGCAACAGACTCCCGGGCAGGAAGACTTGCCCACGACCTTCACAGCTTCCGTAGATGCAACTCTCTCAGTTGCCATGGAGACTGGACTTGTCTCGGCGTTCCCACACAACTCTGAAGCTCTTATCTCTACTTGCTGCAGGTGGCTGACCTTGAAGCCTCTAGCTCTTTTCAGCTTCCCAGGCTCCGACTCACGACGTAAACAACTCTTGGCAGCTTTTGGAGAAAGAGGCGTCTCTGAGCTTTCACTGCTCACTGCCCCCACTGCTCATGGGGTCTCCAGGACGTTTTCCTGCACCCCTCTGATGGGTAAAGGGATCCCAACACTTGGCCTCTCACACAGACACGTTGCAGCATCCACACAGCTCCCAGGCTCAGCAAAAGCACAAGCAGCATTGCTAGCAACAACAACAGCAACAGTCCCTTCGCCCCCCTGTAGGGGCTCCCAGCTCCTCCCAGCTGTGTATCGGCTCTCAAGAATGTGGCCGGCACCATCTTGCCTCTCCCTTTCGGATGCAGCCACTTCTCGGCCCTTGCTTCCCACTCCAGCTCCACAAGCTTCTTGGAGTGCTAGCCAAGCGGCCTCTGGCCTTCTTGCACCCAGGACAACAGGCACCAGATGAGCATCCACACTTTCTGCCAAAAAAGCAAGCACACGCTTCTCAACTTCATTTTGCTCTGCAGCCCTATTAGCCTCTGCTTTCCCAGCTGCATTCTGTGTGGGGTGAATTACATTCCACAGCTGCTCCCCAACTAGCAAAAGCTCCACTTGAAAGCTCCACTGCAGCCAATTTTGGCTAGTCAGTTTCTGACATGGCAGTTTAAGCTCAAAGCCATGTTCACAGGGCTGAGCCATTGCCTCCCTTCTGTTGGCTTTTCCCAAAAGGTACTCACTCACTCAGCCAAACTGGGAACTCCGGACGTCATGGCTCTCAGCTCCCTCTCCGTCAGGCTCCTCCGATCTGCCTCTTTGAAGTCTCCGGCAGTCGATCAAACTGACAATCAGCAAATAAAGCTTCAAAGCCCTTTCTCACACGCTTCACGTTGACCCATAACCATGTTAGATAGATTTATTGCTTTATTGTTGGCGTCTGGCACGCTTCCCCTGCACTCCTCTGCAGGTCGTAAAGCAATTAGCAGAATTGCACAGCGTCCGTGTTGAAAGGGCAGTAAAACAAGTCCCACACGTTTCTTCTTTCCTAGTAGCACTTTATTTGCTCAAAAGTAGCATATTTACAATCCATAAACACCATCTGATTCAAGCTGCATTTTGCGTCCTTCTCTCTCAGTTTTGCAGCTGTGGTAAAAAAACTGCTTTCACTTTTCACTCAGCTCACAGCATTCCAAGCTGCTTTCGTCACGTCCTGGCTTACTTCCCTTGTAAGCGCCTCCTCTCAGCCTCGAGACACAGAAGGTTAACCCTTCACT